AGCGAACCCCTTCGTTTAGCGGGGCGAACCAAGATGCAACGTAGAATCTTGAGTGTATTATCGAGATTTTCGCTAAGTTATGGTAATCAACTCGAATAAACCCTCAATCCCAGTTAGCACACCAGTTGACCCGTGTTGGGCATTAACGTCACAGTTTCTTCCTTGCAGTGCATGTGGCTTGTTACTATGTGTGGAGTCAAAAAGGCCCAGCAAGTGGTGACATTTACATGACAGGGAACGAGCACCAGAGACGTGCCCCTGTAAGCTCATAGGGCAACTTCAGCGGACTGAGCAGAAGGGACTGAGCAGGTAGGCAAATATGTAAATATATCTCAAGAGCAAAAAATTGCATGCTTCAGGCACCCAACGGGTAGCAGTGGCAAATGCTGCATGACTCTCTGGACTCCAGAGCACGGGGTGGTCTACTTGGCCTTGAGGTACTCGTTGAGCACGTTCAGCGCTTCCGTCTCCTCGCCATAGTCCTGCCATATGCAGAGGGACACGGCACAAACATACATACACACACACACATACAGATCCACGCACACAGATGACCATCAATACAATGCCCCGGCAGAAACAACATACTAGGCTGTCCAACCCTCGCTGACGCTAATGCATCCTTTCTAGACACTGCTGCAGGGGTTGTAGGCGCACTGAGAAGCTTGGAAATACTGCTGCTCATCCACTTGACTCATCACTCAGCCCTGGTCCTACATGCAATACAGCAAACCCCCATGGGCATGCTTTTGAGTCGACTCAAACCCCCATGGGCATGCTTTTGAGTCGACTCAAACCCCCATGGGCATGCTTTGGAGTCGACTCAAACCCCCATGGGCATGCTTTGGAGTCGACTCAAACCCACATGGGCATGCTTTGGAGTCGACTCAAACCCACATGGGCATGCTTTGGAGTCGACTTAAACCCACATGGGCATGCTCTTGAGTCGACTTAAACCCACATGGGCATGCTCTTGAGTCGACTCAAACCCACATGGGCATGCTTTTGAGTCGACTCAGAAGCACATGGGCATGCATGCGTGTGATAGCCAATAACCACACGCGCAATCACTGTTGATTCCCCCCAGCCTGCATTCTCCCATGCGCACCAAATGCCCCCCATGCGCACCAAATGCCTCCCGTACGCACCCAATGCCCCCCGTGCGCACCCAATGCCCCCTATGCGCACCAAATGCCCCCTATGCGCACCAAATGCCCCCTATGCGCACCACATGCCCCCTAATGCAATGCGCACGAAGCAGGCCCCAATGAGCGCTGCCCTGTGCGACATAGGTCACCTCTTCCTTCCAGAGCACTCCGGCTGCCCCCCCGGCTGGCCCCCAGCTGCCCCCCCGGCTGCCCCCCAACTGCCCTCCCACTGCCCTCCCGCTGCCCCCCCCCCTGACCCCCCGGCTGCACCCCCGGCTACCACCCCCCTCCCCTGCTCACCTTGACGACGACGCACGCGCACCCGACGACCTTGCGCGCCTTGCCCTCGGAGTCGAGCTTGCACAGCCCCGCCCACTCGCCCAGCGTCTTCGCGCTCGGCACCTGCAAGCAACCCACGCACCACGCACCATGCACGAGCAGTCTATTCTTTAGGCGCCTCAAAACTACTTGCGTCTAGTTCTGAGACGCCTTGCTCTCCGAGTCCAGCTTGCACAACCCCACCCACTCGCCCAGCGTCTGGCGCTCGGCACCTGCCACCCACCACCCAAGCACCACGCACCACGCACCCCGCACCCCGCACCACGCACCACGCACCCCGCACCCCGCGCCCCGCACCCCGCACCACGCACCACGCACCCCGCACCCCGCACCCCGCACCACGCACCCCGCACCCCGCACCACGCACCCCGCACCCCGCACCCCGCACCACGCACCACGCACCCCGCACCCCGCGCCCCGCATCCCGCACACACCCAGCGACTACTCAACTTCCCGCTTCACACGCGCCGTATCACACAGGCGGTCAGTGCACCCAGAGGAAAGCACTTGAATCGACTCAAAGGGCACAGTCGATGAATGCCGATCCTTAGGAAAACAACTCTTGAGATTGCGCCGTCTGTGCCTGTCGAAACCCTAGCACGCTGACGGCGGCTGCAGTCGAGCCCATGGTTGTGTTAGCCTGCCACTATTGCCTTGCCACTAAGCACGCAGCAGCAACTCGCAGCTCAAGAACAGGCAGGCAGACACACTCGCCCCCTATACCCTAAACTGTTTGCTGATCTTTGAGTCGACTAAAAAACTCGCAACTCGCAGCTCGAGAACAGGCAAGCAGAGACACTCGCCCCCTAAACCCGAAACTGGCTGCTGCGCCTGTCTCCTCCGATCACCTTCCCCGCCTTGCGCCTGTCTCCTCCGATCGTAAACCGGCTCCGGCTCGCAGGGCAGGGCAGCAGGGCAGGTCAGGGCAGGGCAGGGCAGGGCAGGGCAGGGCAGGGCAGGGCGGAAACAACCCTCCCACTGGGATGAGGCAGCAACAGCACGGGCAGACTGGATCCGTGCAGACAGCAGACGGACGGGCAGACACGTGCATCCTGCTGCTCGTGCACGGGATTCGGATCGGGATGAGGCTGGATACACCTGGCTGGGTACACCTGGCTGGATACACCTGGCTGGGTACACTTGGCTGGATACACCTGCATGTGGCTGAATAAGGTAGCCGTGCAGCGCACCTGGATGAGGTTGATGTTGTGCTCGTGGCAGAGCGCCTGCACGAGCTTCTTGTAGTCCTCCTGGTCGCAGTCCTGCGCCAGCACGCACAGCTGCGCGCTGCTCTTCTCCAGCGCCTTGGCGGACTCGTGCAGCCCGCGCGCCAGCCCGTCGTGCGCCAGCGCCTTCTTCAGCACGCGCTGCAGCGCCGTCATCGTGTCCATCGCCTCCGCGGGGGCCTCAGCGGCCGCCTCCACGGCGGGGGCCTCCGCCTCGATCGCAACGGGCTCATCTCTGAAGGGGAAGGCGGGTGGGAGGGCGGGGGTGGGGGGGTGGGGGGGTGGGGGGGTGGGGGAGGGGTAGGGAGGGGTTTGGGGGGGAGGGGATGGGCGCGGCAAGTGAGCCGACAAGGCCTGCACGAGCTACTTCTTGAAGACCTCCTGATCGCAGCCACGCGCTGCAGCGCCGTCATCGTGCCCATCGCCTCCGCGGGGGCCTCCGCCTCGATCGCAACGGGCTCATCTCTACGGGGGGGGGAGGGGGGGAGAGGCGGGGGGGGCCAGCGGAGGTTGTACGGGCGTGTCGTCCTCGACAGACGTGTCAAAACGGAATAACTACATTACAGGACGAGGCAGGACGAGGAAGAGCGAGGCAGAACGAGGCAGAACGAGCGAACACAACGTACCCGTCCGACATTGTCCTCGGCAGATGTTTAACGACTGCCTCCCTGCAACCAGACACGGAAGAAACAGGAGAAAGAAGAAAGAGGAGCAGCAAAGAGTTGAGACTGGGACTCACGACGAGAGGACCTCAATTGACGGAAAAACGACAGCAACGGCAGGAGAAAATAGGCGAAGACTGAACGCGCATGAACAGCTCAAAACGCAGACGAGAGAAGGGGACGCATCCGATGGGGACGCATCCGATGGGGACGCAGACGATGGGGACAATCACTTTGTCAATGACGTCCTCGAGTCCCCACCTGGGAGCTATACGCTGCCTTGCCCCCTTAAGCCTAACCTGACCTACGAACCTGCTGCTCTCTGAGAAGAGAACTACGTCTGACGACCGCAAGGGCACTCACTTTGTCAATAACGTCCTCGAGTCCCCCACCAGGGAGCTATGCGCTGCTTTGCCACCTTACGCCTAACCTAACCTACGAACCTGCTGCTCTCTGAGCTTTGAGGCGCCTCAAAACTAAATTCTTATGTGCTGCTTTGTCACCTGAAGCCTAACCTAACCTACGAATCTGCAGCTCCCTGAGAAGGGAACTTCGTCTGAAGACCTCAAGGACACTCACTTTGTCAATGACGACCTGGAGACCTCACCTGGGAGCTACGTGCTGCTTTGCCACTTAAGCCTATCTCACGAATCTGCAGCTCTCGAAGTATTCTCAAAGAATTCTCATAAGACCGCAAGGGTACTCACTTTGTCAATGACGTCCTCGAGTCCTCACCTGGAGCAACATGGAACGAAATGGGACGAGAGAGATGCGATGACATGAGATGAGATGAGTTTGGGCCACAGCAAGAAATGGGGCGAGAGAGATGAGATGCGTTTCGACCGCGGCAATAAATGAAAATGGGGCGATGACGGCAAGAAAGATGCTGTGGAAACGACGTTCCGGCTCAGAGTGGTCTACAAATCCGACGAAAACATATGACGGAAAAAAAATGAAAACGTGAGAGGCAAAATTGAAGCCACTACACGATCGCCGGCACTTTCGAAGAACCGCTGCGTTTCCGTAAGGTGCACTCGTGGCGGCCTCTTATCTTTCAGAGGGTAACAGGAGTGGAGACTCACCCGTTGCGAAGTCTCAAGTCGTGAATGTGGTAAACTAGAAAACGCAGAAAGAGATAGGAATAAGCGTTCGACTGGCAGATATGCGTGGGAAAGCTTTGTGAGGGCGTGTCCTCCAGTGCAGATTGGGGATTATCACCGCCCTGGATGCTACTGTGCTGCACGAAACCGCGGTCAACGGTAGCCTACCGAGCTCAACCAGAAACAAATCACCAAAAAACCCCACTTGGGACACGCCCTTCGTAGCTCGGGAGGTGGGGGGGAGGGATGCTGCTTCGGAGCTCAACCAGAGCGAGGACCTTCAGCGAAGCCCAAAAGAACTCTTTCCGAAGATACACGCGCATTCGCTTATACAGTTTATTCGACTATAAGCGCAGGTGATTTTGCAAGGGATTCCATTATAATCACATATGCGCTTATATCCGGGTGTAAACAATACTGTACATCATTGATTTGAAATAATAGCTTTTTTTTCACAACATCATTTATCTGCAATGATGTTTTTTTCACAACATGCCCTTCAAGTCAAACAAGATTCACTTATGGCACAAACGAACTAAATGCATCAATTAGAAAGTCGAATTAGCAATGTTAGACAAGCATAAACGAGAGATGGCGCTATAACAAGTCACCAATAATAGATCAGCACATGCAAGGTTTCTAGAACGCCGACAGCACACATTCCGTTCCATCCTTGCCTTCACCGTCACATTTCAGAAAGTGCCTGCGCCCCCTCATCGTTACCGTATGCCATCACTTGAGCATTGACAAGCCGGCATTGACAAGCCGAGCCAACTCATCACCAGATTTTAATCTCATCACTTGAGCATCGCTGGCACATAAACTGATTTGACCCTCATCATTCGAGCATTGCCGAGCCGAGCCGAGCCGAGAAGAGCCGTGCCGACACATCAGCTGATTTTCATCTCATCACTTGAGCATCGCCGACACATCGGCTGATTTGAACCTGGCAAGCCCACCAGAGCCCTTGGAACGGCTGCCGCCACCAACAGCCGACGACCGAGATGGGTTCCTAGGCAGTGGGCTTCTCGCCCCCCCTTCCCTCTCCCTCTCCCGATCTCTGGTCCTCTCCCTATCTCGGTCCCCCCCATCTCTATCCCTGTCCCTATAGTCCCTCTCACTATACCTGTCCCTGTCCCGGTCACTATCCCTCTCTCTATCCGACTCATCGTCCCATCCCCTCCCCCCTCCTCTTCTCCCCCCACTGCCCGTGCCGCTCCTCCCCTCACTCCTGTCCGCACCTCTAGCCCTCTCCCTCCCTCCCCCTCCCCCTCCTTCACCCTCCTCCCCATTCTCATCTCCCTTCCAAGGCGCCACCAACTTAGGCGCGTTCACAGGGCTCAGTCCGCCGCCCGCCGACACAGAAAAGACAACCCCACCCGTCCGTGCCAGGTCATCAAAGTCCCGGCTCGGCCGCCTCCTGCCACCAGCAGAAGCAGCCGATTTCCGCCCACCGCTGCTCGTGCTCTCCGCTCCATCCCGCCCCAAATCCTTCCCCCCATCGCCGCCCATCTCATCCATCAACTTCCCTATGTCTGCCGATTTCCGCCGGACCAGACCATTAGTTGCCGAGACACGCCGGCCGCCGCCGCCCGCACGGCTGCTCACACTGGCTGTGGGGGACGGCGGACCTCCTATCCCTCCTCCTCCCCTATTGGAAGGGCGAGAGCGAGAGGATTCTTCCAGGAGAGGGGAAACTGGCCTCACTCCTCCCCCTCCTCGTGTCGGCCCTCCCCCCCTGCCCCGTGCATCAGCATCAGCATCCCTCCCATCTCTCCCCTCCCTCCCCTCCCTCCCGTCCCGCCCATCTCTGACTGGGACGAGGTTCGACACGTTGGTTGACTTGTGGCGGAACAGGCTGTTCCCCTCCAGCCGCTCCTTGGCGCTCTTCGCCTTATCTGACGCCCGCGACATGCCCCTCGCTCCCCCTGCACTCCCGCTCCCACCATCACCACCCCCACCCCCACCCCCACCACCAGCACTGTCCTCCTCGTCTAGAGGAGACACGAAACGGTCCTTGGCGCTTCTAGCATTATCCGACGCTCGAGACATGCGCCGTGCGCTCCCCCCCGCGCTGTCCTCCTCATGGGAGTCGTCATTGGTGCTGCCAGGTGCAGGAGCAGGGGCAGGAGGGGGGGAAGGAGATCGCTCCAGGTCCCGTGCTTTCCCGCTGCCTCCACTGCTGCGGCTCTCTCTTCCCCGCTCCCGATCCTTGTCCCCCTCTCCGGCCCCTCTGTCTCCTCCTTTTTCGCCTGCTCCCCTTTCTCCTTCACCTCCCTTATCTCCTACTTTCTCCCCTGCATCAACCTCAGGGTCAAATGACACACTAGCAGACGACAGCCCACGCCGCAGCGACCGCCTGGGTCGGCTGGTCTCCTCCTCCTCCCCTTTTTTCCGCCCCTCCTCTCCCTTCTTCCCCCCCTCTTCTCCCTCCTCCTTCCCATCCCTGTCTCTCTCCCTATCCCTATCCCTATCCCTATCCCTATCCCTGTCCCTGTCCCTATCCCTATCCCTGTCCCTGTCCCTGTCCCTATCCCTGTCCCTGTCCCTGTCCCTGTCCCTATCCCCTCTCCCCCTCTCCTTCTCCCCTCGCACGCTTTCAGGAGAGGGAGAACGACGCACAGAGGAGCGCCTACCATCCCTATCCCTCCCATCCCTATCCCTACCATCCCTGCCCCAGCCATCCTTATCCCTTCCCTCCCTATCCCTACCCTCCCTATCCCTACCCTCCCTATCCCAACCGTCCCTATCCCTACCCTCCCTATCCCTACCCTCTCTATCCCAACCATCCCTGTCCCTACCATCCCTACCCCACCCTCGCTCTCTATCCCTATCCCTGTCCCTGTCCCTATCCCGATCCCGATCCCGATCCCTATCCCTATCCCTATCCCTATCCCTATCCCGAAACCTGTCTCTGTCCCTATCCCTGTCCTTATCCCTGCCCCCCCCAGGAGGCGACGGTGACCGTCGGATCCCCCGCGATCGGCTCGATCTGGCCGTCGGGCTCTTGAGGAAGTCGGGTTTGTCATCATCCTTCCCGATTGACACCAGCTTGCCAATATCTGCCGATTTATGCCGTACCAGCCCGCCGCCCTCTTTCTTCGCCCCACTGGTGCTCCCCAGCTTATCTCTCTCTCTCCGAATCCTCTCCCTGTCGCGATCCTTGTCCCTCACTCCGTCACTATCCCTATCCCTGTCTCTGTCTCTGTCTCTATCCTTATCCCAATCCCAATCCCTATCCCGTTCCTTATACCTATCCCTGTCTCTGTCCCGGTCTCGATCCCCATACCTATCCCTGTCCCTATCACGATCCCTATACCTATCCCTGTCTCTGTCTTTGTCTCTGTCTTTGTCCCTGTCTCGATACCGGTCAAAGTCCTTATCCCGATCCCTGTCCCTATCCCTATCCCTATCCCTATCCCTATCCCTATCCCGCTCCCTATACCTGTCGTAATCCCTGTCTCTATCCCTATCCCTGTCCCTGTCCCTATCACCCCTGCCCCCCCTATCCCTATCCCTATCCCGCTCCCTATCCCTATCCCTGTCCCTATCCCTATCCCTGTCTCTGTCTCTCTCTTTTTCCTTTGACTCCTTTTCTTTTTCCCGCTCGCCTCTGCGACTTGCGCTGCTGCCCGGCCTTTCCTTCCCCTTCTCCAGCGAAGCAAAAATCTCCTCCATAGATTTGCCAGGCTGCCCGGGCTTCCCTCCCTTGGTCAGTATCGCGCCGACATTCTCTGACCGGTGCCGCAAAAGTTTCGACCCGGCGTCAGCAGCAGAAACAGAAGCAGACGACGGAAGCTTCAATCCTTTTCTTCCCCGCCCGCCGTCCTCCTCCCCCTCGTGGTCCGATGCGTCTCTTGTGCTCCGAGAGGGTGGCAGCTTCGGCCGGCCTGCCGCCCCCCCGCCGCCCGTGCTGCCACCTCTAGGTAATCCCGGTCGGTCCTCCCTCCCCCCACCCCCCCCACCTCCTGTTTCTAGCTTAGCTAAAAGTTTTGCCACCCGTTCCTCTCCTCCCCCTCCTCCCCCTCCCTCTCCCCCATCTTTCCGCAAAACTTCCCGGGCAGCGGCTAGAAACGCCTGCAGGGCAGCTTCAGAAGGTTCCTCATCCCCCAATCCGGAGGCGTGCCGGGCAGACGCGGACCGTCGATCCCCACCACCAGCAGCACCGTCAGCATCCGATTCCGCTCCTGATAACGACCCGCTCCGGCTCATACCCACGCTGCGAGACCGGGGGACAAGAGAGGGGGAGAGGCCTGCTGCAGAGGTTCCTGCTACCCCCGCCACCCCCCCCTCCCCCACCTTCTTCTTCAGAGCCTCCAGCAGCACTAAGAGATCACTATGGCTCCCCTCCCCTCCTCCCCCGCCCCCACCGCTGCTCTTCTTAAGAGTCAATATCGCCTTAGAAAGCAGTGAGGCGTCTCCCCCGGCCAGAACCCCCGCCAGGCCCCCCACCCCACCCCCCCCCGCGTGGTGCTGGTGGTGATGCGCCCCCCCTCCCCCTCCGCCTCCCCCTCCGCCTGCCCCACTGCTAGAGCTGGGTCTGATGCCCCCCCCCGTGCTGCTGCCGGTGCTGCTGTCACGCCTAAAGGCGCCCATGACGTCAGCAGTGGCGGGCTTGGGGGGGATGCCTGAGAGGGAGGCGGAGGAGGGGAAGCGAGTGGAGCCGGCATGCTGCTTGAGCCACCGGTGGGCTGGGGGGGTGGGGGGGGGAATGGGGGGGAAGGGGAGGTAAGGGGAGGGGAGGGGATTCCGGAGAGCGAGGCGGAGGAGGGGAATCCAGTGGAGCCCGCATGCAGCTTGAGCCACCGGTGGGCGGGAAGAGGAGAAACAAGTGGGGGGGGGGGGCGGGGGGGGTGAGGGGTTCTGATCAGCAGCTTGACGACCAGATTCCTGGCGCCCCGCGAGATGAACTCCCTCCCGTCCCTCACCCCGCCCAAACTTCCGTCCCTCCACACTTCATATGAGCCCTCACTCACCCAGCGCCTTATCCGGTGTAATCCTCTAGCTGATTATTGAGAATTCTAAGAAACCCCACCCACTCACACCCTCCACCCTCACACCCTCCACCCTCACTAACACTCACTCACCCAGCGCCTTATCCGGTGTAATCCTCTTCAAAGGATCCCTGGTGAGCAGCTTGATCACGATTTCCTTGGCGTCCTGCGAGATGCCCTGCCTCCCTCCCACCCATCCTTCCATATATCCAGCTCAAGTAGAGACTTCCCCCCTACCCCGCTCACCCAGCGCCTTATCCGGTGTGATCCTCTTCAAAGGTTCCCTGGTGAGCAGCTTGATCACCAGGTCCTTGGCGTCCTGCGAGGAGCCCTCCCACACGCCCGTGAAGACGTCGATCTTCCTTAGAGACACTCACCTAGCGCCTTATCGGGAGTGATTCGCTTGGAAGGATCCCTGGTCAACAGCTTGATCACCAGGTCCTTGGCGTCCTGCGACACGCCCTCCCACACGCCCGTGAAGACGTCAATCTTGCCCGTCTTGATGGCCGCAAAGATGCCCTCCTCCTTCTCCGCCCAGAAGGGCGGCAGGCCGCACAGCAGGATGTAGAGGATCACCCCCACGCTCCACATGTCGGCCTCGAGGCCATAGCAGTTGTTGAGAACCTCGGGGGCAATGTAGTAGGCGCTGCCTGCCATGGTGGTCAGCTTGGCACCTGCGGGAGTGAAAAGGGGTGAAAGAGGGGTGGAGAGGGGTGAAAAGGGGAGAGGGATGGAGAGGGGTGGAGAGGGGTGAAAAGAGGGCAGGCTGCACAGCAGGATGTAGAGGATCACCCCCACGCTCCACATGTCGGCTTCGAGGCCATAGCAGTTGTTGAGGACCTCGGGGGCAATGTAATAAGCACTCCCCGTTATTGTGGTTAGTGTGGCTCCTGTTTGGGGTCAAACAGTGCGGGGCAATTGTGTGAAAAGGGGTGAAGGGGTGAAAAGAGGGCAGGCCGCACAGCAGGATGTAGAGGATCACCCCCACGCTCCACATGTCCGCCTCCAGCCCGTAGCAGTTGTTCGGAACCCCCGGGGCAATGTAGTAGGCGCTGCCTGCCATGGTGGTTAGTTTGGCTCCTGTTTAGAAAAGGGAGAAGGGGAGGGGGGGGGGAGGAAAGAGGAAGGGGGGGGGGGGGAGGGGGGTTGTTTTGGGGAGGGGAACAGAGAAAGGGAGAGGGAGAGGAAAAAGAGCGGCAGGCCGCACAGCAGGATGTGGAGGATCACCCCCACGCTCCACATGTCGGCTTCGAGGCCGTAGCAGTTGTTCCGGACCTCAGGTGCTACATAATAGGCGCTGCCAGCCTGAAACTGGTGAGCTTGGCACCTGGTTTTCAAACGAGCGGCAGGGAGGGAAGGGTGGAGGGGGGAGAGGAGGGGATGGGGGGGAGTGGAGGGTTGTGAAGGGAAAGGACGAGGGACAAATATTGTCTGCTTCTTCTAACCTGTAACACCTCCGGCGTTCCATAATAGGCGCTCCCAGTCAGCATGAGTCAGCTTGGCTTCTATTGGGGTAGAATTCTGGTCCATTGATCATATCTAGGCTCTGATAGGTTTTTGAGAATTCTCAAAATTCTATTGGGGTAGAATTTTTGTCCGTTGATTACCGTGTTCTATCACTAACCATGTTTGCGCTTCTTGCCATTTGTCAGTCTGACACAAGCACACATAAGAAGTTACGAGACGACTAAAAAACGCTCAGGAGAGTTAGGAGCATCATTTTGTGTAGAGTTCAGGGCCTCGTGATAAAATATTGGAGGTTGGCTGGCAAGTAAGCTCATTGCAATTATTTCGGAGCTCGAATGTGGGTCAATCGGAGACTAGCGAACTTAACTAAGTACTTGTCCTTGTTTCACCAAACCAAGTTTTTCTCGAAGAGCATGAGCGAGCTCGCGTTTTGGTTATCTCGCTCTACAAAAAGCACCCAGTCAACGAGGCTGTAACTGAGATAAGCGAAAAGATGCTCACCGGGGTTGACGAAGACTACGAGGCCGTGATCGACGACTTTCACTCGCGTGTGCGACGTTAGGTTCACGAGGAAAACAAATTCGGGCTTCAGATTGCGATGCATGAGCCCGTGCGTCTAGCAATGTGCGATGGCCAATTTTCATCGTGCATTGCTAACATTAACGAAACAGTAACCAGGACTGGCGAGAAGCGGGCTTACCTGGTTTGACGAAGACTGCAAGGCCGTAATCGACGACTTTCACTCGCGTGTGCGACGTTTGGTTCACGAGCAGAATGTTTTCGGGCTTGAGATCGCGATGCATGAGCCCGTGCGTCTGGCAGTGTGCGACAACCGAAACGAGCGTGCGACAAACCTCCGCCGCCTCGTTCTCCGGGTAATGCTTTCGCTTGCTAATTCGCTCAAACAGTTCGCCGCCTTCGCACAGCTCCATGATCAGGTGCACGCGCTGAGGCCAAAACGAGAGAGAGAGAGAAACGAAACGAGAGCGCGGGAATAAGGTGAGAGTTAGGTGTGTCATTTTTAGATGCATAGGTAGAGAGAAAGAGAGCGCGAGAAGGATATGGAGCGGCGATTAATTAGTGGTTGGGTAAGGAAGACAAAGAAAGGGGGAGGGAAACCGGAAATGCAAGGGACCATTAATCACTTACGATCCGCGCGATTCACAATCCAGCGTTCACGCGAGAACCCTAATTTACTGTGAACGTCCTTAAAAGAAGAGCCGGGAAAAGAAGGGGGAACAAGGGGAAGCCACCCTCCCGTTACCCTTTCTGCCATTCTTCCTTACAACAGTAGAAAACGGAAACCCACCTTTTCGTCTTTAAACGTCGCACGAAGCTCGATCACGGCCGGGTATCCTTTGAGCAGCTCCATAGCCTTAACCTCCCTCTGAACTTCCTCCACCTCCCGTGTCCCCGTCAACCTCAACCGCGTACCTAGTGCTCGCGTACCTTTTCTTGAGGCGCCTCGAAACTAGACTCCTCAAAACTCAACCGCGTACGTAGTGCTCGCGTACCTTTTGATCTTCGAACGTCGCGCGGAGCTCGATAACAGCCGGGTGACCTTTGAGCAGCTCCATAACCTTAACCTCCCTCTGAACGTCCTCCACCTCCCGCGTCCCCGTCAGCTTCCCCTTATTGATGCTCTTGCACGCCAGAGACAGTCCCGTCGCTTTCTCCGTGCACAGCCGGATCACGCCGTACTGCCCGCGGCCCAGCTCCTTCCCCATCACGTAGAGGTCCTGCACGTTTTCGTACGTCTTTTTAAGAATGTTCACCGTGTGCGCCGCTTCCTTCGCGGCGGAACCCGGCCGGCGTAACGACGGCGGCAGGCCGTCCTTGACTCCCGTCCGGCTGACGTCTGCTGCCGTGGTCGAGGGCTTAGCTGGGGAGGAGTCTCGCGAGGAGCTACCGGGACCTGACGTGGCGAGGCTTGGGGCTGCCACGGAGTCGGTATCTGACACGTCATCATCGACCTTCTTTCCAGTGGGAGGCCTTTTTCTTCCGAGTGAGAGGAGACCCATGGTTGCAGTCGCATTAGGGAATTCAGAAGTAAAGCCCTGTTGCTAGGCTACTCGGTAAAGGTTAGCATTAGTGAAAAGGATTAGCTGATCGTGGTTAAAGGAAGCAGAGGGTTGTAGCGTCAAGGGAAGGCGAGAAAGAAGCGGAGTACACGATGACCTAAGAAAACGGCTCCCGAGTGCCCTTAATGCTAGCCGGTGCTCTAGAATGCAAACGTCTACGCTCGAGCGAGCAATCGCATCAATGGCGGATCAGTGACAGCAATAGCAGCAACAGCCGAACAATGCAGCTCCGTGCTCCGCCCCATCACCACCAGCACTACTTTACGAGACTACCGTACCACACCACAACCACCCAAGGTCCTATCTGTTCCTTGGCGCCCTGCTTTGTTGTTGAGAGTGCTGCTCTGCTGCTGCTCCTATCTTGGCTTGAGTTCTGTCGACGGCAGGCCATCAAGGAAAGAAAGCGAGCAGGCGAGGGTCAATAAACGTGGGGGGTTGCCCTCGTCCTGCCAATATGGCTAACTTTCGATGTTTCCCGAAGAAGACACCGTCCTGCTCGATAGAGGCCGTATAGTGGCAGAAGACTGAACCACGGAGGTCGACGGGGAGAAACGCTTAACATATCGAGAACAAAAACGATAGCGTTTAAGCCTAGGGTGTTTCGGGACACTAGATCCAACGCATACACCTCAAAACGGAACTTCTTGTCAAGTGTAGAAAACTGGTCAGGGAAGGCGCAAAGCGACACCGTAGTACCAGCTGGCAAACTGGTAGGGGCTTTACCCGAACCTGTTCCCGGGGCTCAACATTTGGCAGCCTGGAAACATTCATCCAACCAGTGAGGTCACCGCTGGTTTGACAAAGCCACGGTGCAGCTAGTGCGGACCACAAGCTGGGTTCGGTGTTCACGTCGTGGTTCGCCAAATCGAGCACTGGCTGGCTCGGAGGGCCCTCAATCCAACCAACCAATACTCTGCCAGTGAAAAGAGTCCTCCGTGAAGAGGACCCTCGTCTTGTCGCTTGTGGGATTGGTGGATGATGGTCGAACTACCCTCGCGAATGCACTTCGCACAACGCAGACTGCGAACTGCTCGCGAGTGAGCTGTCCGCGAAGAAGTTACAGCGGACAAGCTGCGAAACAGACACGCCGTTGGCGGCTGTCGTGAGGTTCGCTTGCCCCACTGAGTGAGCAAAGTTTCGTGATAGAGTTTCCAACAGAGACTGAAAGACTTCAGCAGGTTACAAGCTCAGCCATGGCTGTTGGGAACTCCGCTTCCTGCCTGCCTCCATGTGTCCGCGTTTTTCTGAGACTCCAACATTTCTCCCAGTAAGCAGCGGCCGTTCGGTTGGATCACGATGGCAAGCAATGTAATGGGCTGTCCTTACTAGTAGATCGTCCGAAGATACACACACTGTTGCGTGACCGTCAACATTGAGCTGATCGACTCTCTCCGCCATGGATTTTCCATCATGGCCCAAGCACTTTTCACTATCTTCCCGTATAGCATCGTTCGTCGCCTCCTTTTTCGCCGTTCTTTGCCTCTCGATCTACCTCCTTCAAGAATCGCGGAACGAGCTGTTGCCTTTCCTCGCAGCCTCCAATTCCAACTTCGCCGACTGGTTACCCGACAATTCGTCCAAGGAAACCGTTTCCTCGCGGAGCCAGCCACCGAATCTTTCGAGAATATGGCGCAAATCGTTCGATGTCGCCTACAGCCAGAATCAACAGCAGCAGTTGCCGGCAGTTTATCAAGATCCGTTGCAAGACTCGCCGCTAGAGCCGTTGCAAAATCCGTTACAAGAGTCATCGCCTGCTTCATCTTCAACATTGGCCCACACGGGCACTGAAGAACGAGCAGCCGAAGCCATATCGGGGAAGCCACAAACGGGGATGGAAGTTGCTCCGCCAGGAGCGGTGGAGGCGGAAGAGCGGTCGGGGGCGAACGGGGGGAAGCGGGAGTCAGAGGCGATCGCGGAACAGGGGCAGCAGCAACAGCAGGAGCAGAAACATGAACCGTCAGAGTTACAAATTTTAAACTCCATCCCTGGTTCCAAGCTCACCTCCCCGTCGTCCGTCCGCCACTTCCGCCGCCGCATAGCATGCCTCGCCAGCCAAGGCCGCTGGCTCTACGATCCCTCCCCTAGAATCCTCCCCTGGCCGCCCGGGGGTGGGCGGTCGTTCTCTCACTGCGACAGCGACCTGGTGCAGAAGCACAAGGCGATTGCGGGCGCAAGGGCGAACAAAGTGGTGGTAGAAGGGGGGAGGGAGAAGGACTGGAAAGTGAGGAGCAGCTTAAAGTATGTGTGGAAGGTCCCGGGGTCAGCTGGGTGTGGGGACGCGGGTGGGGGTGGGGGTGGTGATGCTGCTGGTGGTGGTGCGGTTGGTGATGGTGCCAGTGTAGCTGGTGGTGTTGCTTCTGATGGTACTGATGCTGCTGGTGCTGGTGCTGGTGCTGGTCGTGCCTCAGTAGGGGAGTCAGGAGGTGCTTCCAGTGGCGGGAGCAACGGGCAAGGCACTTCCGGAAGGGCTCTTGGCGATCAGGAAAGCACAAATGCTCTTGGCAATGCGAGTGACGGCGGGAGTCCCACCAGCCATCCAGCATCGAGTGACAGAAACGGGGCCCTAGGTGACAGCAACGAGGTCTTCCAGGAGTTGCCGCCTTTCAACCGCACCAGGCTCTGCAACCGGCTCGCAGCGACAGCTGGCGGGATACTATTCGTCGGGGATTCCATGACAGGTCAGCTGCAATACTCCTTCCACCACCACATGTTCTTGGGTGTGCACGGCCCCTCCTCCCGCCCCAAATACACTCAAATGAAGCAGTGCAAGATATGGGAGCAGAATCTTAACGAGTATCAGTTTCATCTCTGCGAGCAGTTCAATTACTGTAGAGACCTGGGCCCAGGGCAAGAGGTTCGGGTAATGTACGTTCGTAACGACCACCTCTCGCTTCGAACGGATGCGGAAAACTCGATTCTGGAGCCGTTACGCGGTTACGAGTTACCGTGGATCGAGCATTTGAATGATTGGGGCGTGTCTGCCGTCATTCTCAACCGGGGGGCCCATATTGATTACAACTCAACGGTTAAGGACTTTGAAAATGAGTTACAAGCTACACTACTGCGCTTACGCGAACTGTACCCGTTCCTGCTTGTGATTTACCGCAACACTCCGGCTGGGCACGCTAACTGTACGGAGTATCCTCCCGGACCTATTTCCGAGCCTCAGGATCCTGCCAGTCTGCCGTACGAGTGGGGCAGGTTTGTCACCCAGAATGAGATAGCGAGGAGGCTTGTAGAGGGGATAGGAGGAGTGTATCTGGATTTTGCGACTCTGACGGCGTTTAGGCCGGATGGGCACATGGGGTACAGTGGAGGCAAGTATGATTGCTTGCATTACTGCTTGCCTGGGCCACCTGATACGTGGGTACAGCTGATTTATACAGCTCTTATGGAGCTCTTGTAATTTATTTTATATTGCCTACCAACTGAATTTGTGGGGGTATTCACATCACAACGCTCGCCTCGCCTGTTACTGCCGGTATTTGGGTACAGCTGATTTATACAGCTCTTACAGAGCTCTTGTAATTTATATTTTGTATACCAACTGGATTCATGGGTGTATCCACAATGCTTGCTGTGTTATCAGCACTGCTTCTTACCACTGGCCCTGTGGTGCTGTCTGAGGGAGGTGTTACCAACATGCTCGTCTCCTGTACAGCTAGAACCTTTCCCACAAGGGGAGGTAGTATCTGAGACTGACTCCCAAAGAGTCTATCAGGAGGTGTTACCTACCGGAGGGCTAAGCGCTGAATGCTAGCACGAATGAAGCACCGCTCCCAGCCAGGGAGGAGCTATCAGAGGAAGGTGTTATTTACCAGAGTGGTGTTATCTACTGGTATGGCGCTGAACGCTTGCACGAATGAAGCACTGCTCCCAGCACCCAGTAAGAGAGGCTTTATCAGAGGCAGGCGTTATCTATGCCGAGAACGGGGAGAGGGCGGGCTTGTTTGTCTGCGCCTGCAGCAGGAGCGCCTTCTCGACCCCCTCGAGCACCTCGATCACCTCCATGAAAGACGGGCGAGACATGGGGTCTGACGCCCAACACCGGGATATGAGACTGGAGGAGATGGGGGGGCAGTGAAGAAAAGGGAAGCAGACATGTGAAAAAGCAGGGGCGCCGTCTCGACGCCCTTCTCGACCCCCTCAAGCACCTCGATCACCTCCATGAAAGACGGGCGAGAGGTGGGGTCTGATGCCCAGCACCGGGATATGAAACTGTTGAGGGAGGGAGGGGAGGGAGGGGAGGGAGGGGACAGGCACAGAAGGGAGAGGAAGCAGAAATGTGGAAAGCAACTTTTTAAACCCCTTCGAGCACCTTGACCCCCTCGATCCTCTCAAGAACTGCCATAAAGGACGGGCGAGAGGTGGGGTCTGACGCGCAGCACCGGGACATGAGACTGGAGAGGGAGGGAGGGAGGGCAGGGAGGGAGCAGGCAGGGAAGGTAGAGAAAGCAGAGATGTGGAAAGCACGTTTTCAAGACTCAAGGCTTGACTCAACCAACCACCCCGGGAACCTTGAGATTAATCTCATCACCAAACACCTCGTTAACTCCCCCTCGTTAACCCCCCCTCGTTAACTCCCCCTCAGCCACTCCCTCTTTAACACCTTCGGGGTACGACTTGGACTTGAATGGCGGTCTGACTCCCTCCCTGACCACCTCTCACAGCTATTCCGTGACAGCCGCATGTTTCAACATCCCCTACTCAACATCCCCCAGTCAACATCCCCCAGTCAACATCCCCCAGTCAACATCCCTCACTCAACACCTCTACTGACGCACTCTTTAACACCTTCGGGGTACGACTTGGATTTGAACGGCGGTCTGACTCCCTCCATGGCCACATCTCACAGCTATTCCGTGACAACCCCCCCAGTCAACATCCCCCATTCAACATCCCCCAGTCAACATCCCCCATTCAACATCCCCCATTCAACATCCCCCATTCAACATCCCCCATTCAACATCCCCCATTCAACATCCCCCAGTCAACATCCCCCATTCAACATCCCCCAGTCAACATCCCCCAGTCAACATCCCCCAGTCAACATCCCCCAGTCAACATCCCCAGTCAACATCCCCCATTCAACATCCCCATCACATCCCCCAGTCAACATCCCCCAGTCAACATCCCCCATTCAACATCCCCCATTCAACATCCCCCATTCAACATCCCCCATTCAACATCCCCCAGTCAACATCCCCCAGTCAACATCCCCCATTCAACATCCCCAGTCAACATCCCCCAGTCAACATCCCCCAGTCAACATCCCCCATTCAACATCCCCCATTCAAC